TGGAGAAAGGTATATAAGGTGTGAGGAGACAGGAACTAGAGACCTTTCGGCCGGAGCCTTTTTGAGGACTCAGGAAGCCCTTTTGGCTGAGGACTTAGAGGCTTTCAGTCAGAGGATTCATGGAGTTGGCAAGGTGAGAAGTTTCTCTACTGGCTTGTTCCTTTGTCTCTCTAATCTTTCAGCATTTACCACAATATCTGGCTCCAGGTTTTTATTATAAGACAATTTAGGAATTTGTGTTACAATCTATAATATTAGAAATCTGCTAGGGCCAGATGTGGTGGTGCACACTTTTAATCCCAGCTCTTGGGAGGCAAAGGTAGGTGGACCTTTGTGAGTTTAAGGCCAGCCTGGTCTACGTAGAGAGTTACAGGCCAGCCAGGGTGACATACTTAGTGAGACCCTGTCTCAAACAGCAATGATAGCAGCAGCAGCAACAAACAACCAACCAAGCTAACTGAAAAACATTAGCGATTACATGATTAGTCTGTTACTTAGAATGCTATGTGATGATATTTTATTTGTTCTGAAATGTGATATTTTATTTGTATGTTAATAAATAAAGTTTGCCTGGAGATCAGAGGAAATAGCAAACCATTAACACAAAAGACAGGCAGTGGTAGCACACACCCTTAATCTGATCAGGTGGTAGGCAGGGTCTCTGGTGTTCAAGGACACACTAGGGAACAGCCAAGCATGGTGACACATGCCTTTAATCCCAGTTCCTACCATAGAGACCTGGAGGTCTGTACAGACAGGCAGTGAAAAGGAAGCGAGGTGGCTGGGCTAAGAGCCAATGAGAGGGCAGAACAACAAGGCAATAAAGGCACATGTAGACAGGAAGTGGCTCACTTTTGGGAGTGGCAGAGCTGGAGAGGTAAGGTTGGTTGGTGGCTATCACTATTTCACTGATCTCTAAGGCTTTTACCCCTATATTTGGCTCTGTGTGTCTTGTCCCCCCCTCTCCCCCAGCTGAGGACCGAACCCAGAACCCAGCTCTACCACTGAGCTAAATCCCCAACCCCTGTGTTTTTTATTTACTAAGACTGCTTAGAAATTTGTCTACATTTGGCACCCAACGTAGTTCAGGTAGCCAGCTGTCTCTGTCATTCTAGATTTTGGAAGTTGCTTTCAATGCTCTTCCTGTTTACTTAGATAATATTGTATCCTTCTGAGGTCTTTGATGTAGTTGAAGACTAGATAGTTAAAATTATAATTTTCCTTGGTTATGATAAAAGATAAGATATGAAGCTTTAGACTCACCAATATAAGATAGAATATTTTCTTTAATTTTGCCAAATACAAATAGACTAGATATTGTAACTGTAATTCTTGCTTGATAACTGTTCTATTATATATAATTTTACTATGTTAAAGTTAAAACCTTCCTTTTTGTTTAATAGAAAAGGGGAAATTCTGTGGGATAATGCTTTTGTACACTGGTTTAATAAAATGCTGATTGGCCAGTAGCCAGGCAGGAGGAAGTGTAGGCGGACCAAGCAGATGAGGAGAATTCTAGGAAGAGGAAGGCTGAGTCAGGAGATGCCAGCCCGCTCTCCAGGGAGCAGCATGTAATGGCACACAGGTAAAGCCATGGAAAACGTGGCAACATACAGATTAACAGAAATGGGCTGAGTTTAAATGTAAGAGCTAGTTAGTGGAAAGCCTGAGCTAATGGCCGAGTAGTTTTAATTAATATAAGCTTCTGTGTGTTCACTTGGGTCTGAGCAGCTGCAGGACTGGCAGGTGAGAGAGATTTGTCCTGACTGCCAGCCAGCTGGGACACAGGAAAACTTCAGCTACAATGCTATTTGTTTTTTAAAAGTAAAGTGTGTATTTTATATATTTTGAATGGCTATAATCATTCCACTAGATGTCAGAGTAGCCTAAAAAGCAATTGCTGTATAATAAAAGTATTGAGTAAAACTGCAGTTAAGCTATTTTATGTTTCTTTGTTAGTTTAATAAGGAGAGAGAATGCTTTTGTTGATACCTTTGAAACTGATGTTGTAGATGTTCTGTGGCTGTATATTAAATATGAAAGTTAGAATTTTTTTGTGTTATAGAAATTTTTGGTTTTTCATTAAGCCTTGAACTCTAGCAACAGTAAAATATATATGACATTAAAGCTATTAATATTTTATTAAGTACCAAATGCAAGTCTGATACTTTCCTAATATTTTAATGTTGTATCATATTTATCCTCAAATTATAGCAGTAATTAAAAGCATCTCAAAGGCTGACAAGATGGATCAGGGGTAAAGGCATTTGCTGCCAGACCTAATGATCTGACTTTGATCCCTAAGACCCACATGGGTGAGAGAAAAGAAAAAAATTTATGTAAGATGTCTTTTAACCTTTATATTCACTTGCAAGCAATCATGCGCGCGCGCGCGCGCGCGCACACACACACACACACACACACACACACACACACACACACCCTAAATCTAAATAAAACATTCTTGAGTGAGATATCTACTTTGAAAACTTGATTTTAAAGAAATTAAATAACTATCCTTAAAAATTCTAGCCTATTAACTATTCATGATTGTTTTTAAGAATAAATAGGTATTCTAAACACTAGAGATGTTTTAATCATGAGAGCTTGTAGCAGTAATCTTAAAATGTCTTATTAATAAAAACAAACCTGGTGCCAGTTATTGGGGTGAAACGCTGGAAGATCAGAGAAGCAGAGCAAGCCACAGCCACCTCACCTCGCCAGTTCCTCAGCTGATCCTGTTTCCTCAGACTGGATGCCTCTCAGCTGAACTGTGCTGCTCAAAAGCCTAAAAGCTTAACCAGCTAGTTTCTGGTCCTCATGCCTTATATACCTTTCTGCTTTCTGCCATCACTCCCTGGGATTAAAGGTATGAGTCACCATGCATGGCTGTTTCCAGCGTGGCCTTGAACTCACAGAGATCCAGAGGATCTCTGCCTCCCAAGTGATAGGATTAAAGGTGTGAGTGCCACCATTTTCTGGCCTCTATATCTAGTGGCTGTTCTGTTCTCTGACCCCAGATAAGTTTATTGGAGTGCACAATATTTTGGGGAACACAATATTACCACAAGAGCTGTTAACACCCACAGGTAGATAATGATGCTGATGTGTGGAATGAGTGTAAGGTTTTTATTAGACACACCTGGTTATCAACAACAGGATTTGTAGCATTAGTCTGACCTTGAGCAAGTCGTTTCATATCTCTGACCTTTAGTTCTCTGATTTTGTTTTTGTTTTTTAAATAAAATCTCAGTTCTTCAATTTTACTAATGAAGACTTGGGAGCCAGATGCTGGGGTGAAAGCCTGCTATCTCAGAGAGGCAGAGAAAGCACCCAGCTGACCTTCCTCCTCTGCCAATGTCCCCCAAAAGAGAAACAAAACTCCTCCAACTCAATGTCCCTCCCTTCTACTTCCTGTGCGTCTCTCTCTCCGTCCTCCTGACCCCCTCTTACTCTACTGGTTGCTTGCTTGCCTCTTGAACTATGGTTGACTTTATTTAACCCTGCTTACAATGAACAGAAAGCTCTTGGATTAGACGCGTGTGCCAGGGCTGAGCACACCACAACTAGGAAGAGGTTTCTCCAGTAAATAAGGTAATCTCAGGGTTCACAGTGTGATCAGATACCCTGCAACAGCTCTCTCATCAATAAAGTGCAAATACAGCCTAATGTCTCCCCCACAGCGATGAGATGAAGGCTAAAGAAGAAAATGTATGCCATCTACTGCAGTGGCCAGTCATAGTTCAATAAGTCTTTGTATTATTTTTGTGAATCTGAGAGCAAAGCAAAACTAATAAAGGTTAAAACCCCTCCTATTTGAGTCATGGTAGATGACCCAATATTGGTGCTCATGTATGTCTGAATGTATCAATAGACATTTTGCCTATAAAGACTAGTATTGGTTTTAAAAAATGAGCAACTATGCTTCCATTGAAAAGTTAAGAACTACAATAGCTTATTTTGCACTCCATCAACATTTTAAGTACCTCTGTTGCTTGGAAATGAAAGTGGAGGAAGTGGAGAATGGAATTTCATTCTCTTCATGCCATGCTTATTACTACTTATCACTTATTACTATGTTCTAGTACTTCTTTAATTTTTTAGATCTGTTTATTTTTATTTGATGTGTGTGCATGTTTTGCCTGAATGTGTGTGTGTACTACGTGTGCCTAGTGTGTGTGTGTGTGTGTGTGTGTGTGTGTGTGTGTGTGCATTACATATGTACCTGATGTGTATGTGCATTACATGTGTGCCTGGTGTGTGCATTACTGTTTTGACATATTTTGATTGCATTCTGACACTCCCAAAATGACAATAAAATTTGTTTTGAATCAGAGGGCGGAGCTAGCTACCAGCTGACCACAATTAACCACAGAGGTTTTGGAGGACTGAGGACAGATAGAGAGACAAGAAGTTGAAGGGTTGGGCTTAAAGAGAGTCTTGGTTTTGTGGATGGAGGAACCAAAGACATGGGAGGTCATTGGTTGCTTCTTCACTGCTTCTATGATCATTGGGGTTCTTACCCTGATATCTGACTCCTGAGCTTTTATTAGTAAAGAATAATTAGATAAATGCATTACATTACATGTATGCCTGGTGTGTTTATGTGTATTACATGTGTGCCTGGTGTGTGTGTGTGTGTGTGTGTGTGTGTGTGTGTGTGTGTGTGTGTGCATGTGCATACATTACATGTATGCCTGGTGTGTGTGTGTGTGTGTGCGCACGCGCACGCGCGTGTGCATTTTTTGCACGTGTGTCTGATGTGTGTATGTGCATTACATATGTGCTTGATGTGTGCAGAGACCAGAGAGGCTGTAGGATTCCTTGGATCTAGAGTTATAAGTGGTTGCAAGCTGCCATGTAGGTGCTAGGGACTGAACCTGGGTCCTCTGCAAGAACAGCCAGTGCTCTTAACCACAGAGCTGTCTCCCAGCCCTAATACTTCTTGCTGAACTCCAATAACTGCCCAACTGTCACTCCATTTTGTGTCCTTTGCCCAGGTTTCTTTCTTTTTTGAAGATGAGTACCTGAAGGTACAGCTCCAACAGCTTGCTTAGCACCTGCAGGTCACCAGCACAGTGAACACATCGTGACTTTGACTCATCACACCAGAGACTTTTGCCAAGTTTTCTTATAGTATGGCTCTGTATGTACGCAGAGGTAGATCAAGATAGTGAGTACAACATCCAGTGTTTCTAACTCAAGTTTATAATTTGAGTTTTTTTGCAAATTTATTTAATGGGTCTACAGTGAAAAGGTATTTCATACTTAAAGAAACTAAAAATTTGGAAAATGTAAAAATGGTATAATAAGCACTGTTACCCTCCTGATAGTAATTTTTCTTATTATAGCTTAATGTATCTAGAGTTAAAACATTACTGTTTAAGGAAAGCAAATACAATCATACTACAAAAAAACCCAATACCATCATGGGTTGGAGAGATGGTTCAGCAGTTAAGAGCATTTGCTGCTCTTACAGAGGATCAGAATTTGGATCCCAGCTCCCATATCAGGTGATTTACAACCTCCTGCAACTCCAGTTCCAAGGGATTAGACACCTTCTTCTGGTCCTTGTTGACATCTGCACTCTGGTGCACATAGCCCACTCCCCCTACACATAATTTAAAATAAAGTATTTAAAAACTCCCAATATCGTTAGCTTAAATTACCTTCCTGTCTCCATCCAAAGTATCTACATGAGGAGTTTGATGTGCTTCTTGCCCACTTATATCTACAAACAAATATGGAACCACTTGTATTTTAATCTGTGTACATTATACACTGTATGTTATAACACCTTATCTGTCCTTCTGTGGCTTTTATTACTCAGTATTATACATTTGAAATATGTTTAATGTATTTCCTTCAGTTTTGTGTACACTTGCAAGTTTTTTTTTTTTGTCAACTTGATACAAACTAGAGTCCCCTAGAAAGAGGGGACCTCAGCTGAAGAATTGCCTCCATCAGATGGGCCTGTGAGCCTGGCTGTGAGGACATTTTCTTGGTTAATGATAGCTGGGGGAGGGCCCAATCCACTGTGGACGGTGTCACTCATGGGTAGATGATTCTAGGTTGTATATCTGAGCATTTCAGGATGAGCAAGCCAGTGAGTAGCTTTTCTCCATGGTTCCTGCCCTGGAGTGACAGACTGTGACTGGAACATGTAAGCCGAAAAAGCCCGTTCCTCCCCACAAGTAGGTTAGTCAGTGTTTCATTTTCACAATAGAAAGTAACTAGGTCAGTGTAAGAGTTGATTGCGTGAATACTTCACACCTTATGTGTTGAATTCCTGAATGTTTAGAGTTCTTTTTTGACTTTAGTTCTTAATTTTAAAATTTCATGTTTATTGATATTTTGCCTACATGAATGTCTGTCCACCAAGTGCCCACCAAGGGGTTGTTGTATTCCCTAGTCATGGAGTTACAGATAGCTATGAGCCTCCATGAGGGTGCTGAAAATTGAACCTTCATCCTCTGGAAGAGCAGCCAGTGCTCTTAACTGCAGAGCCATCTCTCCAGCCTTCTGGTTTTAATTCTTAAAAGCCAATCTACAGTTTGTTTGTTTGCTGCTATTTTGAGATGATGTCTTGCTATGTAGCCCACACTGGTCATGATCTTGTGATCCTCCTTCCTCAGCCTCTTGAATACTGGGATTACAAGCATCCACCAGCATATCTAGATCTAGTGAGTGTCTTTCTTCACAGATTCTGGAGCACACACACACACACACACACACACACACACACACACACACACACACACACACACACCTGTAAGTAGTAGGCGTGTCTTTATACCAAATACAGCCAAACTCCCCCCATCAGGAAGTTCCTATTCCTTCTCTTTTCATCAAAACTTGACAAATACGTTTTCAGTAATTAATGTGGTCATGCACAGATGTTATTTTTATAGTAAATCATCTATGGACTAGTGGCATGAAGCCAACTAGGTAATACTGTTTTTCATATGTTCTTTTGAATTTGGTTTGTGGATGTTTCATGATTTCATGTTACTTTTTCCTTTTAGATGTTTAAAAAGTTTTTGAAATCTTGCTGTAACACAAAAAAGTCTTATAATAATAAAAAAAAATCCAGAGCCAGATATTGGAGTGAAAGCTGAAAGGTCAGAGAAGCAGAACAGCCAGCCACTAGCTTACCTCTATGAAATCCTCAGCCTCAAGAGAGTGAGTTCCTGTTACCTCATGCCTTGTATACCTTTCTGTGTTCTGCCATATTACTTCTTGGGATTAAAGGTATGTGTCACCACTGCCTGGTTCTGTTTTTCTCATGTAGCCCAGTGTGACCTTGAACTTAGAGATCCAGATGGATCTCTGCCTCTCCCGAGTGATAGGATTAAAGGTGTGTGCCACCACTGCCTGACCTCTATGTCTAATTTAGTGGCTAGCTCTGTCCTCTGATCCCCAGGTAAGTTTTATTGGGGTACACAATGTATCACTGCATCTTGCCTATAAAGAAAGGGCTTTCCTCTAATAAAATTTCTTTCTGAGATACTTTGCTCAGCCTTGTTACAGGGAGGAGGGGTTTGGACCTGCCTCAACTGAATGTACCAGGTTCTGCTAACTCCCCAGAGGAGACCTTGCCTTGGAGGAGGTGGGAATGGGGGGTGGGTTGAGGGGAGAAGGCTGGGGGATGGGAGGAGGGAGGACCGAGGAATCCGTGGTTGATATGTAAAATGAATAGAAAATCTCTTTATAAAAAGAAAATAAATTTCTTTCTTAGGAAGATCATACCATAGCAGCACTACCAGCTTGTATTAGCTTATACATTCTATTGAGGTTTTATATATATTTATATATGCTTTTTTGAAACTTTATGCTTTAATCAAGATTAATGTTATAAAGTATATCATTTTTAATTAAGTTCTCACATTATCACACACACATGCTATAATATAGGTATTGTTGATGTGATTGGACTATATTTGTTTTTCTTTGAGAGTATAAAATTAACTTTTTAAACAAATATTTATTGGATATCACCTCTGTATCTAATTCTGCTCTAGATGCAGAGGTTACAGCAGTGAAAAAACACCCCTGTTCTAATTACACATCTTGGTTCTACTCTTCAGATGAGATAATGGTCCCAGGACAGAAACAGAACTTCACTGTGCTGCCCACAGTTTGTGGACGAAAGCACTCTTGCTGGTCATTTCATGCCGAGGACTGAGGAAACACCTTCAGTCAGCGACCACAGGCATTTGGCTTTCTGATCACCTTTGACCATTTTCTTTACACACTGCTCCCTTAGTCCCTTTGACTTCAGCTGTGTAAACAGGAAGTACTCTCCATCAGTCATGTTACATATAATTCAACTGTGAAATTGTTTGCTTTTATCTATGCACAAATCCTTTCAAGTGGCTTTATGAATTTTCATTTTGTTAATATACAAAGTGAATTTGAATCACACCATGAAAATAGAATGCATATCTTGTTTCTGGACTCAATGGAACAATTAACAATTGAGGCCATGTTAATCTTGATTTATATATAGCAAAAAAATTGGTGTGAGTTAACTCGATTGAGGTCATGTTAATCTTGATTTATATATAGCAAAAGAATTGGTGTGAGTTAACTCAAGGAATTTTTCAACTTCAAATATGAATTTCTATATTACAATTGTTGACTAGCAGACAGTGGATTTAGTAAACTCATTCTTTTTTTTTTAATTAAGAAAATTTTTCATTCATTTTACACATCAAAGATCCCCCTCTTCCCTCCTACCCCCCCCCCAGCCTCCCCTTCCCAACCCACTCCCCACTCCCCCCACAGGAAGGCAAGGCCTCCCATAGAGAGGCATGTCAAGTAGCAGCATGTCCAAGCCCTTCCCCCTGCCTTAAGGCTGTGCCAGGTGTCCCATCATAGGTAGTGGGCTCCAAAAAGCGGGTTCATGCACCAGGGATGGATTCTGATCCTACCGCCAGGGGGCCCCCCAAGCAGATAAAGCTACACAATTGTCTCGCAATGCAGAGGGCCTAGTAAACTCATTCTAAAGAAGCTCTTAGCAAGTATATACAAGATTGGATTTTAGTTCTAGTATATTTTCTAGTTTAAAATATAGTTAGAAATCACAGTTAACCACCAAATTGTCAGACAGATTACAGAAATATTAGGGCCCAGTGCAGAAATATCGTGTTCTGGAGGAATAAACTTGACAGCCTGTGCAATGTTGGAGGTTGCTGAAGTGAGACCGGTCTCACTGATGGCCTGAATTACAATGTAGAACATGGTGTTATTTCCTACTTTCAAAGTTTCTGGTTTGAATTCAAAATTTTCTTTTGAGCCAGCCTCTTTAGGTATCAGACCAGAGGTATTCACTAAAGTAGCGTTGTTAAAATTTTGGAGATCCCGAGAACGCTGACTCATTCTGATGTTGTATCTTTGCGCTGGAAAAAAGAGACGTGTTCATTAGAGTTGTGATGACTGTTTTCGACACCGCACTGCGCCTGCGTAGGAGTTACCAGCCTTGCATGCGGCGCTTTAGTGATGGAGAGCCCAGGTACAGTTTGTATCTGGTTATCTCATCTCACCGACTTTAAAGACAAGTATATGAACAGTTATTTTAAAAAATGTCCAGTTACAAAAATCACAGAAAAGATAATTCAGTATCGATCATACCAGCCCTCCACCCAGAGTCCGGGTTTCTTTTTAGAAGGACGTAGAAAGAGCTGAACTCAGTTTTAAGTTAGAACAAGGAACGCATAATGTTCATGTGCGGTAAAGACCGTGAGTATCTTCTGTGACTTTTTATTAAGTTGAAAGAAGGAGTAAGGGGGTGGGGGTGGGGCACTCAGTGAGAGACCAGAGGACAGATGAGGATGAGTCAAAGGCACAGAAGCCGGATGAGCACTAATTACCCTAATGTGCTCGGGAGTTTACTCCTCTTCACTATTCTTTTTTTTTTAAATTCATTTTTAGTATTTTATTATGTGTATGGGTGTTTTGCATGCATGTATGTCTGTGTGCATATCTGTTGTGAAGGAGGACAGAAGAGAGTCCCCTGGGGCTGAAGTAACAGATGGTTGGGACCTGCCTTGTGGGTGCTGGGAATTGGATCTGAGTGCCCTGGATAAACAATCATGCTCTTGTCTGCTGAGCCATCTCTAAAGGAGATTGGGGGGGGGCAACATAAACTTAAAGATTGATTTTAAAATCTTAAGATAAAAATTCAGGAATAACTTTGGCTAATTCTAACTTTCTTGAAGTTCAGTTTTTACATTAAAAATAAATGAATAATGGCCTATAGTAGACACTCCATAAATATTATTTATAAATGAGACATTGTAAAATTTTTGGGAAAGAATGCAAATATGATTTAATTCAGAATACCTTATTTTTAATTTTTTAAAAAATAACATTTATGCATATAACACTTATCTGTTGTGTAAGTATGTTCCCTTTACAGACTCACTTGAACAAAGAATTCCTGGGATCATTTCCTGGCAACAAGTGTTTTAAGTGTCTATACAAAAATGTAATAACTTAATTTCTTACACATGACTCATTCTGAATACTTTAAAACTCTGCCTCCAGCTTACCTCTTCCCTTGTCGAGGACCTTGCCAGGGGCGGTCCAGGTAAGGTGAAGATGATCTCCGTTAAATTCGGCTTCCAGATCTGTGATTCTACTGGGTGGGAACACAGGAGGAGCGTGGTCACCACCAGGAGGCGCTCCAGACACAGTAAAGGACCCTCCAGAGGTTAGCCTGCTGAAGTCTTCCACAGGAGCTTCTGCTTCTTGCATTTCAGGTCTAGGTGGGTTCAGTATAATTTTACCTATAAAAAACAGCCACAGTTATTGTATCTCTCATATTGTCTGTTCTTTATATCATGCCGATCTTAAAGCTGTTCATGGCTCATGCAGGTTGACTACAGACGTTGAAAAGTGAGAGAAAAGCCTATATATATATAATTTTGAAATATGCTATGTTAATCTAACTTTTAACCTATCTTAACCTACTGCTATTGCATGAGTTCTTTGATGACAAGGAATCATTCAACTCCCTAGCTCTAACATTTAGCACAGGGCTTGTTCCATGACCTCGGGAAATGTATTTTGTAAATGAAACAAACTGAGGGAAACGTTAACAAAATATGTGGAAGCGTGGTCTATGTTGGGTCCACTGACACGAATATGATTTTGAATCCTAAAGATGATTGCATAATTATCTACTTGGGTTTCCCACATATATCATCCCTTTCAGCATTTGTTTTATATAATTTACTGAAGTAGCTAATACATTTCTTTTTAATGCTACTCACCATCTTCAATATAACCAGGTATATATAAAGACTTGCTCTGTTGTCTTAAACTTAGTCTGGCTGTGTTTTTTCTTGCCTGGACATGCACTTTTAAGCTGTATCTACCATTTCCATGATAATCTGTAAAATATCTTGTGTAGACGCCATCATTTTTAACAGTATCAGCACCTTGATAATGAAACACAATACTTAGTCATGCAGTAAGTTAAAATGAAAATTGACACTTTACAAGCACTATGAGTTTATCAGAGAGTATAGGACAGTTTAAACCCTAGATCTTAGTATTTTGGTTCAAAGCTTGGCTTGACTATGTACTAACTCTGTTGTTTTAGAAAGTATACTTTATAGTAGGCATTCAATTATCATTAGCACTTACTTTTATTTCACAATAGAAACTTGTCCAAAAAATCTTAGAACTGACAAAGACATTTAGCAAGTAGCAGGACATAAAACCAATGTAAAAAATCAGTTTCCAACTTTTGGCCATGACAGTATTGTGACCAATGAGGCTTATCTGAAGTGCAATTATTACTGGCTGAAAAGCCAGTAGCTTCCCCATACACCAATAATGAATATGTGGAGAATGAAACTGGGAAAACAATACTATTTATAATATCTTTAAAAATACTCAGGAATAACTTTAATCAAGGAAGTAAAAGACTTCTTTGATGAAAAATTTAAAACACTGAAGAAGGAAATTGAAAAAAGACACTACAAGTTGGAAAGACCTTCCGTACTTACACATTAGCAGAATTAATACTTTGAAAATGGCCACATAGCCAAAAGCAATCTACAGATTGATGCAATTACAATAAAAAGTCCAATGACATTCTTTACAGTAATAGAAAAAGAAAAGCAGTTATGCAATCCACATGGAAACACAGAAGACCAAGAATAGCCACATCAATCCAAAGTAAAATGAGCAAGGCTGGTGATATCACCATGTCTGGTGAGTCATGATGCAGGACCACAGTAATGAGGCAGCATAGGACTGCCATAAGAGCATACGTGCAGACCAATAGAATAGAATAGAGGACCGAGCATTAAACCCACACACTGAAACCCTGTGATTTTGACAAAGATGCCAAACATACACATTGAAGAAAGATAGCCTCTTCAACAAAGAGTACCGGGAAATTGGACAGATACATGTAGAAGGATGAAATTGGAACATTAGCTTTCATCTTGTATGAAATCAATTCTGAGTAGATCAGACACCTTAGTGTAAGATCTGGAACTCTAAACCTGTTGGAGGAGAACACTTCAGGATATAGGCATAGGCAAAAGGACTTTCTGTGAAGGATACCAATAACTTGGTAATAAAACCAAGAATTGACAAATGGCACATGAAATTTAAAAAATTCTGTGTAGTAAACAACCAAATGAAGCCTGCCATATGGGAGAAAATCTTTGGTAGCTATAGATCTGACAGGATAAAGATCTAGAATGTATAGATAACTAAAAACTACCAAAATAGACAACTTAACAAATGGGCTGATGAAGTGAACCATTTTCAAAGATCAAGTACCAACATCCATTGAGAAAGATCATTGACCATATGAAGAGTGTCCAGGATCCTTAGTCAGAAGGAAAATGCAAATTAAAAATACTTTGAGATTCCATTTTTCCTATCTCTCTCTCTCTCTCTCTCTCTCTCTCTCTCTCTCTCTCTCTCTCTCTCTCTCTCGATACAGGGTTTCTCTGTGTAGCTTTGTGCCTTTCCTGGAACTCATTCTGTAGCCCAAGCTGGCCTCGAACTCACAGAGATCTGCCTGCCTCTGCCTCCCGAGTGTTGGTATTATAGGTATGCACCATCACCGCCCAGCTCCATTTTTCCTTTCTCATTTCATCCCAGTCAGAGTGTTTATTATTAAGAAAACACAATAAAAAGGTTGGCAAAACATGCATACAAACACATGTGTGTGTGTGTGTGTGTGTGTGTGTGTGTGTGTGTGTGTGTGTGTGTGTGTGTGTAGGGAGCAGAGAAAACTTTTATACAACACATTTGGAGTTGTAAATTAGTTGGGTTCCTATGGAAATCAGTATGAAGTTTCTCCAAAAAACTTAAAATTGAATGACTGGACGATCCATCCAAAGAACCTCACTTGAATGTCTGTGTTTATTGCAGCACTGTTCATAATAGCCAAGCTCTAGAATCAGTCCAGGTGGCTGTCCAAAGTTGAATGGATGAGGAAAATGTGGTACACATACACAACAGAGTGCTACACATCAGAGAGAAGAATGTTATCTGCAGGAAAATGGATACAAAGTTGAGATTGCCACATTGAGCAACATAAATGAGATGATGCAGACAAAACTACGTATTTTCTCTAATTTCTAGATACTGGATTTTATACAGATAAATAAAATTATATACCATATCTGAAAGTAGAGGTGAGACCAGGATAATGGATGGCACTAGTGGGGGGGAGAGAGAGAGAGAGAGAGAGAGAGAGAGAGAGAGAGAGAGAGAGAGAGAGAGAGAGAGAGAGAGAAGGTAGAATATAGTTAAAGTATGAAATATGTTTGTTTGGAAAGCCTATAAGTATGTATGATATTAAAAAGGAAGCTTACCCAAACAAAGACTATAACTAGATGGAGAAAGCATATGCAAAGCACTAACATTAGTGAAAATGGAAAAACTGTACTTTAATTTCCATGGGAAACTGCTGTGGATGCTTGATTGATAAATAAAACACTGACTGGCCAGTAGCCAGGCAGGACTGTATAGGCAGGACTAGCAGAGAGGAGAATTGAGAGAACAGGAAGGCGGAGAGGAGATGCCAGCCTGCCATCCAGTAAGCATCATGTAAAGGCAGCAGGTAAAGCCACGGAACACGTGGTGACATATAAATTAACAGAAATGGGCTGAATATAAGAGTAAGAGCTAGACAATGGTAGGCCTGAGCTAATGGCTGAACAGTTTAAATAATATAAGTGTCTGTATGTTTATTTTATAAGTGGGCTATGGGTTTGGCGGGACCTGGGGAGAAAAACTCTAGCTACAGGAAGCATGAAATTGATAATAGACTTTAACCAAAATAAATGTCTAGGCTTGTTTTGTCAAGATAATCAAGTAAAATGTTTTAAAGACATCATTACTCAAATAGATTTGTAAATGTATTAAAAAAGTATTGACTTCTAAGTTATAGTTATAAAATCCTATAGGAGAATTGAAATTCCACAGTGTCAATGCAGGTTTCCATTACCTGCCCCGTTGTCCCAGAGCTCCAGTGTGACTTGATGTCCATCTTCAGTTTCTATAGTGGCTGTGACATTGGCTCCCAGAACAGGCAGAAACCCTTGGCTGACTCGTGCATAAACAATCATCGGGCTAGTGTACCGTGCTGTGTTTTGACTCATGTGAGCAGTTACGATTACTGGGGGTGTGGTAGGACTTCTTGCTCGAGTGGTCACCGTCACTGCTAGCGACTGAGGTTCGGCATCCTTATTGAAGAGGCTGTAAGTCCAAGTCCCTGTCTGAAAAAGTTTTCTTTAAGAGCTTTGCTAATATTTTTCTGCTACTTGGGATGTACGATTATTTGGAAATATAAACAAAGTAAAACAACTTGGGGGGTACTGGCCATGCAACCCAGACTTCATGAATGCTAAGCAAGTGTCCTATTAAAAGTAAAGACTTACATTCTTAATCTAATTAATGACTTTAAATATGACTGTCAAAAGAGAATGGGTAAAAGAGATTTGGATGGTTAGATATTCTACTTAATTTTTAATGAAACATACTGTCATTGTATTAGTGCCGACAATGTAACATGCCTTTATCTCTTAACACAGGATGGATTAATGAAACATAGTGAAAAGACTTACTTCTGCGGTGCCTGGTATTTGAAGTCGAGCAGACTGCATATTTAATTCATCATCTTTGAAATCTGAGGTTGTGTATTTTTTTCCTTTTGGATCTTGAAGAATAATTTCTGGCTTTCGTAATGTCCAGGTGACAACAAAGAAAGTGTCATTTCCAATGGTACTATCCACAGGCACTGTACCAGTTACCTGTTTCCTCCCTGTAATATTCAAGGTTTTGCTCTCCAACTGTGACAGAAATAAAAAGCAAACACATAAAACCCATTTGTTATTTTAATTAATAGAAGTTTAATATTTAGGTAGTTCATGGTAATTTAAAATCCATATTTAAGGTTCAATTACAGTGACAAAGAATTCAAATATTTTCCAAATCTCCCTCCCTCCCTCTGTCTCTGTCTCTGTCTCTGTCTCTGTCACACACACACACACACACACACACACACACACACGTTTTACCCTCCTCACAGTGGCTGTGCTTTAAACATATTAGTGGTCTGGCTGCTAATGCTGTAGCTTGGGGGGAATTCTGTTCCCCAGACAATGGCTCTGTTGCTGCCTCTAAAGGTAGTTCTAACTAAATCTATCATTCTAATAAAACTCGAGATTCAAAGGCTGGGGTGAAGACCTGTGAGCTCAGAGAGTTAGAATAGCAACTGGCGAACCTTCTCTCTTTGCTGGCATCCCGGAAGTCATTCCCTTCCACAACACCCCAACTAAACCCCATGCTAAGCTCCTCCCTGCTATTTCCTGTCAGTCAGTTGCTACCCCCACCTCGCTGAGCCCAGTTTAATTTTATTTAATTAGCACAAATGCAATGTATCTTTACATAGCTAACAAATGCAGCATGAAGAAATGTAACACATCTTTGCAGGCTTAAACAAAAATTCCACAGACACACACACTATGTAGCCCACACTGGTCACGATCTTGTGATCTTCCTTCCTCAGCCTCTTGGGTACTGGGATTACAAGCATCCACTATCATATCCAGATCTAGTGAGTGTCTTTCTTCACAGATTCTGGAGCACAAATGCACACACATATACACACACATGCACGCATGCACACACTCCTTACCTGAAAGATGTCATGTCTAAATCTTTACTGTGGGACTGAATGGTATTTTGGAATTGAGCAAATATTTTGGACTTGTATTTGAGTAACCATAGAGAAGTTTCTGTTTAGTGAGATGAATAGAAAATGGATAAAGAATGAATGAAAACAGCAGGTACTGAATGAGTTAAGAAGTCATTATGTAAAGAAGTGGAGAAAGAGGAAAGAACTTAACTTGAAGGTCAAGAAAGAGACAAAAATTAACTTTTAGATGGGGAATTGTTAACAGTTTTCCACTTCACAAACACACACACACACACACACACACACACACACACACACACACACACACACAAAACTAAAAATAGAAGAATGCAAGAGAAAAGGTTTATGTTATATAAAAGAAAATTCACTAATGGTATATTTTACAATGGAAATATTTTTTATGGCAAAAAATGATTTATTAGAGAGAGAACATGTAATAGTAGGACAATAGGAATTTATTGCAATGAAAGTATTTTTACAAAGTACTGACCTGCAGAGCCTGCTCAGAGATGCTGCCACTTAGAGATGAAATCCCACTGAAAGCATTGATAAGGCCAGTTATGTCTTTGTTGGCATAAAAGCGAAGCCCTCCTAAAGGGGAGTTTTAAATGGGAAAATCAAATGTCCTTTTAGTGATATATTTTAAAATCCACTTGACATTTCCTTTTTATTATTAAATTAAAAATTGCATTTGTTTTAGTGTGTGTGTGTGTGTGTGTGTGTGTGTGTGTGTGTGCACATGCCAGTGTGAGTGTGCATCGTGTCTGTGCATTTTCACGTGCATACATGGAAGTCCAAGGACAGCTTGTTGGAGTTACTTCTCTCCTTCCGCCCTGTTGCTCCAGGGGTTGAACTCAGAGTTTGGAGGTAAACACCTTTACTCACTGAGCTGTCTCATTGGCCTGTATGAACTAACACGCTACAAAACATGAGTTTCTAAGAATCTCAAGGATGTTGAGCACCTCTCTGAAGTTACTGGAAACTTATGTTAACCAAAACTGTATTCAAAATAGGTAAGATAAAGATAAATGGAAAATGTAAGAATAAGGCAAAATTCATTTTTTTATGTGAGCTAATCGTCAAATATAAGTGCATTAGTCAAATTGGCCTAAGTACCCATTGGTTTTATAAAAGGTGAGTCTTACGGTTGCTCCTGAGAACCAGATGCTTATTTCTTAGTTGGGTCAAAATACACCTAGACAATTAGAGGATGACAGTTTGTAATAGAGTAAACACAGACAAAATGCAGAAAATAATTGATGTGAGTGAAAGAGAGATTTCTTGGGTATGAAGAGTTAGGAAAGAATAGATCCCAAGGGCAAGAATTAGACTTGTGACTGCCAGAAACACACCAATCCGTGCATAGTAACTAAACTAATAAATGCCACAAAGGCCAACTGGGAGGTTCTCAAAGTAACCCAGGCAGGGAATTGTGAGTGCTGGGGTTGGGGTTGACAGGAAAACAGCTTCCCAGTTTAGGAACATCTGTCCAAATCCTGCTCCAAAGTTGTACCTGTCATGGTTGACAGGCTCTCCAGTTCTCGGGCAGCAGAAGGCCCCAGAGCGATGGTGTGGATGATGGCACCACTGCTTTTGACTTCCTCAAAACATGAACTTATCTGGTCATCTTCCCCATCTGTCAGCAATATGATCTCAGAACCGGAAGTCCTCTGGTCACTGAAAGTAATTGCCTGTGAAAAGCAGTGTGTTAATTACAGAGTGTTACTTCAGAATAAATTTAAGAACACACATTTTTTACATTCTCTTTCTGAGCTGATACATGGGAATGACTAGAACATTAGACTTCTCAGTACTTCTAATCCTCCAGACATACACATTTTGGCCACTCAGTTGAGGTAGGACAAATCTATGACAGTTGCTGGCATATAGTAGCTCCTTAATAAATAAATACAGGTTGCTGTTCTCACTCCACTGAGTACTTGAAGACACGAGACTCCCAGACAGTTGTAGAAGGCTTCAGACTGAATGGCATTTGCAAGATCACGACCAAAGTTGGGTGAGCAAGACTGAATTATTTGTTATATGACTTTTTAATGCATTTTATTTAGTTACTATTAAAAAAATTTATGACTTTCCAAAAACAGAACTAAACAACTTTGGCTTATCATGAAGGAAGAAGTTGATAAATTTTCCATTGTAATTGGTTTTCATAATTTTCTGACTTCTACCAAGAGTATTAGTTAAGAGTCTAGGTAGTGTTAGATACCTTGGTTTTAGGTACCTTGAGAATAAATACTATTTTTTTAAACATGAATTATTGTATTTAGTCTTTCCTGAGACTTGCTGAAACACCACACACACATCATACTTTACAGATTGTTAGTGTAATGATCAAGTTTATAGACTCCAGAAATCAGGTTTTGAATCCTAGACTTGGCAATTGTTTTATGATCTTGAGGTAGATTTTATTATTCTAAAGTTCAGCTTCTTTTTGTGCAGAATGGTCATAGCAATATTGCCCAACTCCTAAAATGATAAGGATATAAGATCATGCATCTAAAGCATTTAGTACAGACAATAATGTAGTATACAGTCAACAATAGCTACTTTTTAATGATTCTGAAAGTGATACACTTAATGTATTTATAAGATTTCATTAAGTAAAAGATGTTTATAATACTGAATATAATTTGCCATCATCTGTTCAGCAATAAACTTTGTGACCAAAATATAAGATATAATGAAATTTACTAAGAAAAACACATACACCAATTTATACAATCATTTAAGTATGTTTCTAATATATAGTACTCATATTTTAGAACCGAATAGACATATGATAATTATTTTCATAATAGCAACCCTTTCATAAACATTTACTTATCTTACATATGTGCCACATTTAAACGAGCTAAACAGCATTAATACCCATATCATTTGGGTTCAGGAAACAGATTTTTATTATTGAGTTACGTTCCCAAGATCTTTTAGAAAATTCACAGTAGAGTGAGTATCTCAGGTTTTTAAAGTCAATCTCTTTTTTGACAAATGGAAGCCACAAAGGAAGTTAAGAGAGACGTGAGCTAATGGTCTGCACAGAGCAGCAGTGATGACTTCCCAAGTGGAGGAAACAGCCTTCTGTTTCAGTGACTCCAGACACGAGTATCAATACATTAGCATGGAGCCTGACAGGGGAAGAAGACTACACAAACACCACAACCTCTGAGCATGCTGGTCAAAAGGAATTCCGCATTTTTTTAATTTTTAGATTTATTTATTTATTATGTATACAGTGTTCTGTCTGCATATACACCTGCAGGTCAGAAGAGGGCACCAGATCTCATTATGGATGGTTGTGAGCCACCATGTGGTTGCTGGGAATTGAACTCAGGACTTCTAGAAGAGCAGCCAGTGCTCTTAAACTCTGAGCCATCTCTCCAGCCTTGGAACTCCACATTTTTAAGTTACAATCATGATTTATTTTATATCACCTATGCTCATTGCATATTGCATGTGGAACTACCTCTCTCTGGATTTTTAAATGTAATTTAAATTAATGTGCTAATGACTTTTACCCATACTATAAAGTTGTCACTGACTTCTCTCTGCCCATGACATTATCTCTAATGCATAGAAACTCAAGTGTGAGAGTCCAGAGAAATGTGTAGCTCCTCAGTGAGGTTTTGATGATCATTTGCCCAAGGAGATCTGACCTCATCCACTCCCCAGTGCCACTCGGCATCTCAAGATTTTATCAATGGAACAACTGGGTGCTGAGAGGCTGTGGCTATAATTAATAGTTGGTGAAGCTACTTTTTTTTCTTCCTGAAATGTTTTGTCTCATCCAGATCAGAATGTTATTAAATGCTGAAACTCTGAGTTCATGACCCGTGTTCAAAGCTAAATGAATAGGATGGAAAGCAGTAAGTAAATAGCAAGTTGTATTAAATTTAAAAGATTACCTGAAATCCTGCTTTAATTCCACTGCAAATTGAAGTTCCACCAAAAGCTTGTTGTGGGAGATTTG